ACAAAAGTGTCTGGATAGTTTGACAAGATTTATTGTTATTTTCATGTGCAGATCCAGTATTTATCAAGCATCATTTGGCTTTGGGTTGAATACTGAAACATTTTGCAGCAGTCATCTTCAGAAATGAAAATAATGACAATGGTAGCATTGGAAAGAAAGGATTTTTTTTTTAAATCTGCATTGTCCAAAAACTTTAACATTTTCAACATTTTATTACTACAAATCACTGTCCACAGTTTCATGCAAGCTATTTTTTATTCTCCTCTTTGCAGATCGAATTGCACAGAATATCATTAAATCTCATTTGGAGACATGTCAATATACAATGGAGGAACTACACCAGCTAGCGTGGCAGACCCACACATATGAAGAAATTAAGGTTTACCAGAGCAAGGTACAATCCTGTAATATGCTTTTTTCTTCTACTCCCTATGGTTTGAAACTGTTAACAGTGTAATGTATTTGGCAAGGATATGCTGATGAGCTTCATATAGGTCAAAATCAGCTTTTAAATAGCTTTGAGGAGCTGGTTACTGAAAGCGAAGGAGTGACACTTCATAAAAAGAAGCAGCAGCTTTCCAGCATGTTGAGATATTTGCTAATGTCAAAGCTTAGGCATGGTTATGGAATCCAGCTTTCCTTGCTTTGCTTGTTATCACAGGTCTAAACTTAATGTAGAAATTCAGTTGACTTTAATGTGATCAGGATTGGATCCTCTGCTGTAAGGACTTTAAGAAAATAAGACCACCTAAATTTGTTTCCTTATAGTTTTGAAAACACATCCCCTTTCTATGTGAATACAAAAGTCTGTCACTTACAGACAATAGATAATGACAAACTGAAAGTACTCCTTAAATTGAAGTTGTTCAAAACTGGGTGGACAAATGACCTCATTACACTGCATTTTTGTTCTACCTCTGCTATTCTCAGGTCAAGTTCAGACCGTTTCTCACTGGCACCTCTTCAGATGTAATCCAGTCAACAGAAATGTTTGTGCCTTTTGTGCTGGCATCACTAGCAATGATTCTTCAGTCAGATTTCAGTTGGGACATTAGTTGATCATGCAAGAGATGGAAGAGAGTCAAGCTTGTTTGTTGGAAGCTGAGAGGCTATGCAGTATTAGCAAGAATAAAAACGCACCGCAGCTTACAGAGCTGTGGCAAGCAAGCCAAGAGCATTCATTTACATTTGCACACTTGCACATGCAAGGAAAATCAATATCAAGGAGACAAAATTTTGATGCAATCAATGTTCAGACTGAAATGATACTTTCTTTACACATTATTTCAATTTTCAAACTAGCAAAAATATTCTGTTTGTTAACTTAATAGCACTGCACCACTTCTTTCTTAAGAGTACTCTAGTATGTTTACATTGTTTGTGCCACTGTTTGTCTGTCTTGAACAAAAGCTGACATTAGAAACACATTTTAACATTGGACAACGCATTCTCTCTCTTTGATGAGGCAATGCCAGAGTTCAGATCACTGGGGCAATTGGCTTGTGAAAACAGCCTTCTGATGAAACGTGACGGGTACCTTGAGAAGCAGAGACGCTGCTAGCTCTGCCTGGGGACGGGGGCGGAGTCTGATGAGTGCGCCTTTCTGCAAGGCCACCTGAAGAACTTCATACAATGACGAACCCACTTGCTCATTGCTTTGCTTTTCCATGTATGTTTTCCTGGAAGACCAGAGAAGCTCTGTGGCAGCAGTGTGCCATTCAGATCACCCACGCTATCCAGTACGTGGTGGAGTTTGCAAAGCGCATAACAGGCTTCATGGAGCTCTGCCAGAATGACCAAATTCTCCTCCTTAAGTCAGGTGGGTAAACGCCAAAGGCCTGAGATAGGTTTAGCACTCAGCACATTAGAAAAGTGCTCTGCTGTCTTGTTCTGCAAATCATTTTAATTTTGAAAGAGCCCTAATTTCAGTCTGTTTCATTAGCTACATTAACCCTTCCGTATTTTTCCACGTTAATCATGTTACTGCCTTCTGATCCCCTTCCCTCTACAGTCGGTTGTGATTATTAAGTACACACACGCACACAATCGTTGCAGAAACTGCAGTCTCCAGCCTGACATGTGGTGGAAGGACTCTGCGAATTAGGCTGGTTGAATCAGTCATCTGCCACCCCATAAAATCCCCGCTTGTCATTAGTGAAATGAACACAGACTCACCGAGGCCTGCCTCTGTGGTCATCTCTAATCTTTTTAATGAGACTACAGAAATACCCTCCAGCCAGTGCATAGGAGGGAAAATCCCTGCTGGTGCCAGTTGGTTTCAGAATAAATGAGAGCGGATTACGGCAGTGTGCTCCAGCCATGCTCTCTGTGCATGCCTGGGTGTGCATGTGTGTGCATAAGGGCAAGGGGGAAAAGAGTTTCTTTCCCTGCTATGGGACTTAGTAATTTCTGTCCTCCAGAAGAATCATGACAAGATTTTTCGTGACTATGTAGTGACACCGCCACACTCAAGGACAAAATGGTATGAACAAATGAACCGCGACTGGTAATTAACTGCATTTACCCTGTCATAGCAGTTTCTTGCTCCCTCCATGTGTAAAAGACAGGATGCTATGTGAGGCAGCTAGTAAAGCATAAGAAGTGCTTCCTATTTCAAGAGAGACCTCTTTATTAAGGCTGAAAGCCAGCATGATTCGGTGCAACGTACACAAAGGGCTGTGGCTTGGTGTGGGACTGGACTGAGATGGTGGGCACAGGTGCAAAGGGAAGGCATATAGAGACCTTGGGAACATGCAGGCAATGTCCTGGAAAAATGGAGTTGTAGCATGAGAACTATTTTTTTAAAGCTGATACTAATTTTGAAAATTCTGCAGATACTAGTGCACCTCGAGTAACTTCCTTCATTTGACTGGCAAAGCTAACAACACAACTACACCTTCAGCAAAATATATCGTTACATTTGACTGTACTGTCGGACAACTGTTTAGCTTCAGCCTGTGTAAATATGTCAGGTTTTATTTTCTGTTTTGCTGTTAATGCTGAGCAGGAGTTAGAAAATCAGAATTTTTCACTCAGAAGCATGTCCGCAAAAAATTCCTCAGATTCAGAATTCCTCTTACAGGAGATTTGGATTCAGTTAAGAGATGCTTGAAATTTTTCCCTTCATTTTCCCAAACTGTATATTTTTTCAGTTAGGAAGTAAAAAAAAAAAGGAAAAAAAGAAGGCTCCTTTGGCTATTTGCCAACCTGCGAGAAAAGAGAAACAAAAGTAAAACTCAATTTAGGAGTGTTCTTGACAGTACTTTAACTTTTATTTTCTCTCTAAAAACACTTTGTGTTCTTTCCCTCCAGCCAAATGAAGCTGGAATTAATATACATGTTGAATTAAGCTGCTTTTTTTGTATAAAAAAAGGTTTAATTATTAAAAAGGAGTTTCAGTAAATGCCTAATTTTCATGATGAAGTATTTCAACCTGAAAATATTTGCCCAGGTCTAAATTCAGATTAAGTCCAGGCTGCCAGTTGTCATGGAGGCACATTAGTATTTGCTGCCTAGAGGGCAAGTTCAAACAGAACTGTCGGGGAGACCCTCCCATCAAATCACGAGGTTCTGAGATGACCTCCTTGCTTTCTAAACTCCTTCTTAAGAGAGCAGTCTAGGTGTGGCTGGATGCACTCCTACTCCAGACTTGGTCAATGATTTATGTCTAAAAGAGTATGTGTATATATATATGCAATCAAACCAGGTAGATGGCGAACTCAAAAGGGGAAATTATTTGTCCAATTAAAGCTGAAAATCTGGATAAAAAAAGATAAAAAATAAAAATAAAAATGTGCTCTTAATTAAGATTACTTTGCACTCCAACAAATATTAAACTATAGATTCAGGATACCACGCAGAATTCATTACTACATAGCTCAGGGGATCCCCAAACTTTGGAATGATAATCAAAAATGCACAATCACTCAACTATAAGATGAAGGATCTCTACCTCAAGGAGTTTCCCCAGGCGGCGTCCGAGCCTAAGGGGAGAGTCCCTAACTGCAGACCCGCTGCTTCAAGGAGGACCGACTCAATATGGCCACCCAACAAGGCTTCATTTATACCCTCGGTTGAATCTGATCTGTAGTCATAAATGGTCAGTGGTCTAGAAACTTCCCTCGACAAGGGCATTAGGTTGGCTAAGGGCCACGTCTGTTGACGCAGGGGCCCTGCCTTTCCTATCCCCCTGACCGAAGCATCCCGTCGGTCAGGAAGTTCCTGCTATTGTTGAAAAGGAGGGGGAGCATGTACCTGCCACACCAATTTGCTGCAATTAGGGAAAAAAATCAACCTAACGAAAAGGTGGTTAGACTGGACCAGAAATTACCCCTTTCTATACTCAAAGCAGACAGAAATACTTTTTCTCTCATTCAGGGGTGTATCATCTAGATGCCTTCAAAGAGTGTCTATCCCTGCTAATGTTTCTAATGACTGATGTATTTCTAATTATTTTCTTGAAATTTCCTATATTCTCATGTTTTGCAGTAATGTGTGGTACTTTTGCTCTTTTTCATTTCTGATAGGCTGCTTGGAAGTAGTTTTGGTGAGAATGTGCCGTGCCTTCAACCCACTCAACAATACTGTTCTGTTTGAAGGAAAGTATGGAGGGATGCAAATGTTTAAAGCCTTGGGTATGTTGATGTTCTTTTCAACCAATTACACTAAGCCACATAGTGACAGATTTGTCTTTCTGAAAGTAGTGACCAACAATGAAAATCTCCAGCAAATGTTAAACCCCCAAATCTCCAAATCTCTAGGCTGGAACTGAAAAAGAAAAAAGGTGATTGCACTAGCTGCTAGCAGTGATAGGTGTTTTTCTCTAATAAAAAAAGAGCAGCATGAGGATTTTGCAGATAGATTTCCTACTCTGCTATCTGAAGTTTTGATAAAACATGAGTTTATGGCAGGAGCCAAGCAGTTTATCTTCACAGTTTAGTTATACTTGATATATCAAATCACTGTCGCTAACTATGTCCTGCAGGAGGCAATTTTTGCCCCACCAACGAGGGGACTACAGTGATGAACTACTACAAAATATAGACAAGGACTTACCTAAAATACTGTTTTGCCTAAAATTTTTAAGCTAATTTAGATTCATGTATTGAAACAATTGCTTCATTTCTCAACATGATATTGAATGCTACTTGAAATGTTAATAGCTAAATGGATGTATTTTACCCATCCATGAGACTGATACATTATCAGAAATTTATTCAGGACCAAACTCAGAGAGAGATATTTGCTTCAAAGGTATATATTTATCATATAGGTATATTTTTTTATTTGCATATGGATAAATGTAATAGTACAAGTTTAATTTATGAATGTGCATTACTTGATTTATTTTGACCTTTACGATGTTTTCACAAATTTTCATAAATATTTGTACTGTTAATTAATAAAATTATATGTGTGAAATTCATTTAGGACTGGTCGTTCATACCTCTTAGATTTAGTATCTGTTTAGAAATAGCATTTCTTTCCACACTGGAAAAGAAAGCCCTCTTTGTGCAATTTTTGTACAGGTTATGCCCCTAATTATTCATAATTTTCGTGTTTTAGTGATACATTTTTAGGGTAGGTGAAATTTTAATAGCTGATTAAAGGTACTTGTTTCAGAAGTACAGACATTCACTCATGACTTTTTTTGACAAGAAAACAATCCACTTTTCATGGCAGGTTAAAGAGCTGATAAACTTCTAGCATTGATTTTGTCCTCTGTGGTCTGCAGGTTCTGATGATCTGGTGAATGAAGCGTTTGACTTTGCAAAGAATTTATGTTCCTTACAGCTGACTGAAGAGGAGATTGCCTTGTTTTCATCTGCTGTTCTGATATCACCAGGTAATTTTTCATTCAAAACATCACAATGATTTTTTTTTCCTCGTCCACCTCTATTTGTACCTACTTAAACAGCTCTTTAAGCTACATTAAGCAATATTAAGCAATGTCTTAAGCAATGGAAGAATACCTGAATTACCCAAATATACCTCACTCTCTTTTTGGTGGACTGTCAGGAATCACACATACTGGAAATAGATCAAAAGTGTTGGGGTAACAGACATCCAGCAGGATTGTGCAGACAAACAGTGCAGGCTGGTGTTCCTCCAGACCGCGTACGGAGAAGCATCATACTCAAGCAGGTGCACGTTCCTTCTAGCATTTTCAGGGAGCTCAAATCTCACAGCCCTGAGCAGGTTATATAGTCCCTAACTATGGGACTAAATAACTATGGTAGACTTTTGCTGTAGATGTTCAAACATAAGCTGTAAAAATCTGTATGACGTCCTGTCTGAATTTAGCTCCAGGTGAGAGGTGGTGATTCCAGGGGCAACATGTTCTTTTTCATGTATTCGTATATCATAACTTTGCACAGGCAAGCATGCATTCAGTGAGTGCTGGCTGTCTGACCACAGAGAAGAGGTTTTTGTGAATGAATTGACTCAGAAGGTGGATCTAGTAGGTAAGCTCACAGTTTAGTGTGAGATTTTAAAATATGCCTCAGGGGAGGTAGACCTCCAGTTCCCACTAAGGGTAACCTCTTCAGAGGCCTTTAGAAAAAATCCCACCGTTATTTTTCCAGCCTGTTCTGCTAAAGACTTCCTCTAGGTCACTTTGCCCTTTTGCACATCTGTGGTGGAGATTATGTTAGGCAGAATTAGACTAGCACAGATGGTGTCAACATGTTCATTCTCATCATTAATGACACCTACTGAAAGGACTCTGCTCCTCTTATTTTCCCTTTGAGCAGTTCTTGCGGTCATCTGCTCAGAGGTGAAATGACTGAACCAGTGGCTTTTCATGGTGTTCGGCCAGGATGTTCTGGAGAGGACCCTCCTAACAGCCACCATTTCCACCTCAGAGGTGTTGCATCTGTGCACAGGGGTGAGAGTTGCCTGTGCATTGTCCCCCAGATGCCCTGACTGCCTCTGGAACAGGGGACTTGCAGTGTCCTGATGGGTCCCTGTCCATCAGCCCTCCCTCAGTTTGAAAAGACCAAAGCTGTATGCATGACAGAGATGTGCTTTCAGTGCTTGCAGGAAGAAGGTGGTGGGATCCTTGTAAGCAGGATATGTATTTCTTTTTTGCAACAGCTGGCTTTTTTTACTCTTCAGTTTATTCTCTTACAGTCAGGAGCAGGAGAAGTAGGAATTAGCTAACAGACAGAGACAATAAGATCATTTTGAAGTTAACTTCAAAGCACTTTGGATCAGATGGGTCATCTCATCTGTAGAGAGAAAGAGAATTCGGTTACATAATATCTGCCCAAACTGAAAAAAAAGTCATGTTTCTGTCTCCCAGGTAATCATGGAAAGGAGAACATGTTATAGCCCTGTTCAACAAAATCTGGTCGCAGAAAGCTTCTAGCATCTCAGAGTGTCCTGTGCCTTAGGCCTGGGCAAAACCTATTTAAGCAATGGAAAGTTTCCCATTGATTTTAATGGATTTTGGATCAAGTAATTTATGAAATGTGCTTACCTACACATCTAATTAGATGCACATCAAAATTCTGATTCAGTTCTGCAGTTCTACATATGTCCCTTTTGTTTGCACAGCACGAATCTCTCTTGCATTCTCCCAGCAGTTCATGTTGCTGGAGTATCTACACTCATTTTTACTTCTTGCAGCTCTACTAAGTACTTGAAAAAGCTAGCAGCTCAGCACTGGCTTTGAGCCACCTGTATTGCAGGCATGTGTCATAAAATCTTCTCCATTGAGTCTAGTAATGCATTTCAGTCCTGATATACATCACTCCTGATATAGCCTTTCAGAGTTGGGTGTGTCCTCAATAGCACCTTCTGTTTCTGATAAGTAGCACAGGCAAGTAGAGGTAATTCCACGGGTTTTTTTCACAATAATCAAGGTTTGGGGTTGAAGGTAGTGCTAGAAGATGAAATATTTTTATAATATACAGTTCCTTATTTGACTTCCAAGTTGGCTTTTTCCTACTCGCAAGAGGACAAATACAGTGTCTCCTATTCCTTTAAGAAAAAAAAAAAAAAAGAAAGAAAAATGAATTGAAAGTGCTTGATACATGCTGACTGCTTATTTCTGTAGTCTGTAAACATGTATATCTTTAGTTATAGAAGATGCAGGAAGAAAGAAATGATGGGCTGCAGTAGCATGTACATGACTGAAAGCAATCTCTCTTCCATAAAAAGACAGCGAATTTGGATTGTGTGAATAATTCCAATCTCAGCTGGGCTACTAAGTTTGGGAGTGCGAAGGCAGGGAAGATCAGTAGAGATTGAACTGACATTGAAATTTGCCATTTATTTTCTTACAAAAATGATCACAGTAAACAGTAGAGAAAGAAATAATTTCCTTCCACACTAGATGTTCTGGTTTCTTCACAGTAAAGTATTTCATCTAGGGAACATGTGTCGAAATTAAAAAATTAAGCACTGCTTCTCAGAAGTACCTGCACCAATCCTTCCATCCACTAATGTAGGTGCACAGAGATTCCCTATGGGAAGTAGCCATATTCAGGTTTCTTTTCTACATAAACCACCATCTTGAAAGGTGATTCTCGTGCCCATGATCCCAGTGTTTAAGTAGTTTACAGGAAACAGAGCGGTCCGTCAGGAGGGGGACCTAAGAACATCCATTAACACAACTGCTAAGGTTGCAAAGCCCAACGTCAGATTCATTTTCCATCTGATTCAGAGCACAAATCCAGATTTTCCACTTTAGGGTGGACCTAACCACTCTGCTTGGAGGTGATTCTTTAACATGATTTCTGATTTCAAAGGTTAAAACAGTGTAGAAGGAGTCCAGTAACGGTTGCAGAGGCATCCATCCGCAAATATGCCAGAGCCAGGTGGTAAGACACTAACTTGGCTGCCCTCTGTGTACCAGTCCCTCTTCTGAAATTCTGACCAGCCATGCTCCTTTTTTCCATCTTCCTTTTCACAAAAGCAGATCTTGTAAATTATCCCTCATCTTCTTTTCTACACTATTTTCTAGCCTAGTGGCCTGTGAGTTCTTTAAAGGTATGCAAGTTCAAAACCCAAAAGGAAAAGTACAGAATTGAATCACTGCTTCTTGTATTCTCTATGGGTAGCCACTGATCTATCGACTTTTTCTTGCACTTTTGTGAATATAGCTAGAGGTACCTGGGGAATTCCAGGCAAATTTGCAGATGGTTTTCAGGTGGTAGAAACCACATTTTGGGAGACAAAATATCCATTGCAAAAGTTTCATCTAGTCATGAATTTAAGAACCCTTCTGTTATATATAGCATGCTCCATGACAGTGATTAAACCCGTCCTCCAACAGCCTCAGACTATTTTTAAGCTTATTCTTGTGATAGAAAGATAAATCTTTAAGGATTGCTCTCTATGATAAATCTTTTTAGCTCCAGTCTGCCACAATAGGCCTTGATTTAACACTATTGAAAGGCATGTTTTTGCAATAGCATAAAATTTGGCACGTAACTTGTGAAGTCTAAATATTACTGTGTGCTTATTTGTGTAGATGCTGCGTGTACGCTCAGCTAGTTCTATTTCTATGGCCACTGGTGGCAGTTGCACGGGATCCACTGGCTTACTTTCTGGGAGCGTGATTCTCTAGGCTTTGCAAAAAGATTATTTTCTTTTTCTGAGCATCTGTTAAGTAGCTAGAGGTTTACTTTTGTCTCTCTTCACAGTATTTGGTGATGGACACATTCCATACACCCTTCTGCACAGACACTAAGTCAAATGACAGAATCCTGCTCCTTCTGTGATGAAATACTGTTCAGCTAGAGCCTCTGTGGCATGTGTACTCATTTAAATGGTCAACTTGCATTATTTCTATGGATTGTTTTAGTGACTGGGAGTGGGTGAAAGGGCTCTGAATGTGAAAGGCATTTTCCTGCACTTATCAATTTGTATGTCAAGATTCATGCCCTATGATAAAATAGATTTTCTTATTTCCTGTTTGAAAGCTAAAATCTATACTCATGAATTGGTCTAAATTGAGGGGGAGAGGGAGGAAGAAATACGTTCGCAGCATGGGAAAACAGAATGTTTAATGGTGCTGTAAACGCACTGTATTAATGGTTTGGAGATTGTCCTGGGGTCTGCTGCTTCCCTTTCTGTGTGTTTGTCTCCAGAAGCTATGACTTGTGAGAATATAGATCTTAAGGAAGACCTCCTACACTTGGGGTTTGAGTTCATTAGAAGACATATAGGTTTCTAAACAACTGTGTCTGTAACTGTTATTCTCCCAGATAGTCTTTTATTTTGTGTTGTTTAAAAAGAGAACATTTTTAAATAATGAGAAATTTGCACTTCAAGACATTGCAACAACTCATAATTCTTTTGAATTATTAAAGAAATTCTTTTGAAGGAAGCCATTTCTTTTTATTCAGAATGTAATATTTGGTCTCAAAATGTTAGCCTAGTAAATAATGAGATATATTTTATTTTAATTTTTAAATAATTATATTCTATTATTTTCAAAGAACTGTTTTGATCAATATGTTTATTATTTATATATTAAGACACTGAGATAACATGACATGTTTTTCACCTAGCCAGTATGAAGTTATAAGAACACTGATTGTACCAACAGAGAATAATAAAATGGTTGGGCCTTGTTTCATTTCTACTCTCATCTTTATCTTTTACATCCTGGTTTAAACAAAGAGATGCAGAGCCAAGACTGTGTTCCTGTACACTTTGTGTCTGTTAATTGAACTCTCAGGTGATCCTTTGATGGATTAAGATAGTTTGCCTCTGAAACTGTATCTTAATTATCATGCAGTCCTTCCTCATGGGAATTACGATTGCTGTGAATGCTTGCCAGCATGGGACACTGTGTTCATCCGTGACCACGCCCCACACCTAAGCATTCTGACTTTAGCTCTTGCTTTCCTTTTTCTCAGATCGAGCCTGGTTAATAGAGCCAAGGAAGGTCCAGAAGCTTCAGGAAAAGATTTACTTTGCACTTCAACATGTGATCCAGAAGAACCACCTCGATGATGAGACTTTGACAAAGGTAAATTGTTAAAATGAAGAGCCAAGCACTCCTTGATGATGACTCTTTTTTTGTAGTCATTTCTCCTTGTATTGCCACATTAATGTCAGTTAAAAGCAGCACAGTCTGTGCTTGCAATGTATAGGATTTTACTCGTCTCTGGTTCCTTTTACTCTCTTTTTTGTTCAATCCACTAATCTTTTTAATTAGTACCCTAGCAAGAACGAGACTACTTTAAAAAAATACCCTTGGAGACAGTTCTTTGTTAAATGTATTTTTGGCAATTGGCTTAAATTTCCAGGACAACAGTTTTTAGCCTATTACAGTAAGAAAAATGTCTGGTCCTTGGAATGGGTAGTTTTGATGGAGTTCATAGCATTGCATTCAGTTACCCAACCAGATGTTAGCATAGTTCGTTTTGGAAATTGTAATTTATGCTAAATTTCCTTCCTCCCTCTTCCTTTTCTTTCTATTTTAATGTCTTGCAGTTAATAGCCAAGATACCAACTATTACTGCACTTTGCAACTTGCACGGAGAGAAACTACAGGTATTTAAGCAATCTCATCCAGATATAGTGAACACACTGTTTCCTCCATTATACAAGGAACTTTTCAATCCAGACTCAACCACTGGCTGCAAGTGAAGGGGATAATAGAATTTTCACGTAGTCATGGAATGCATCACTATTAAGACAAAAAGAAATGTTTTCATGAAGAACTTACTAAAAATGTCACTACTGCAACACTAGGAATGTCCTGCACTTAATAGAATTATTTTTCACCGCTACAGTTTGAAGAATGTAAATATGCAACTCTGAGTGGGGATGTCTTTTTTCTCTTTTCTTTGTTTACTTTTTTTAATTTTTGAACTGACAATGAATATACAAATATAGGACACTGGGTGTTACTTTTTTTTTTAATTTTATTTTATTGAGGGATGTTTTGGGAGACAACTGTTCCTAGAATTTTATTGTAGATATACATGAGAATAGAGCAGTACTTTGCAGTATTACTCTTGCTGTTTATTGTTCAAATATAATTTAAGAAAATTCCACTTATTAGACTTGCCTATTTCTATGTTTTTAGATAGTTTAATGCATGTGGAAATTTGTAGCTGTCTTGGAAATTATGGTACATGTATGGAATACACACATATATATATAAGTCCTATACACTTTCTCTTTTATATATATATATGTAGGTATTATATGCATACATGCTGTAGCTTAAAAATCCCATGCCTACTTTTAAAACATGCTCAGCCCTGCTGTCATGCATTCCTTACTCTCCAAGTAATGTATTAGATTTACTTTGGGCAATCAAGATTTGCTTTGCCAGTCAGAGTTAAATTATCAGCTGCCGATGTGTAATGACAGGATCACTTCTGAGATATGTGTAATGTAGTGCATGTGTGCAGTCTGTAAATGAAACATCAGGAATGTAACAATGGTCAAAAGCCTTGTCTGGATGATTTTAATGGAGAGAGGAAAAGATTTTTTGGAATTTTCTCCCTGTTACAGGGATAGAGCATATATAAATGTGAACATTGCAGGGCCTGATGTCAGTAAAGTATCTGAAACACGGAGTGAAAATGTAGACTATCCCACACATACATTTTTCTGATTCCACACATGATTTTATTTTATATATACTGCTTTGAAAAGTAGTTGCAAGGCTTGGTTTGTTTTTTGCTGAACTCAGTGGAAAGACATGTAGTGAACTCAGTGAAAACCATAGGAAGCCTAAAATGTAGCTCCAAAGAGTAGCGGCAGAGGGAGGAAAGGAGGGACAAAGGAGGAAAGTCAAAGCGAGCAATGTCTGTGGTTACAAAGGCAATTACAACTATCATTGTTTCTGACACAGCCATCATCTAGATGAGACTGATGGTTTCCATTACACACATACATATATGTATGTTACATATACATGCATATATGTATGTATATATCTGTATGTATATAACTGTATATATATACATATTTAGGGTTGATTTTAGATGCACTTCAGGAGGGGAACAAAGGATTGGGGCTTTCTTTTTGTCTGTCTCTGAATTGACTTTATATGCGTTTGCTTGCAAAACCAAAGGCAAACACAGAGAGGGGTGGAAGACTGCCATGGACTTAATCTTGTGGATTAATTAAGTTTAATTAGCAGTCATGATTAATGTATTTGGATTCTGCCAGAGATAGAAAACATAGACTTTTTAGCTATGGAAGAGGGATTCAGTTTCTGCCATGGCTCCACCACTTTTACCCATTGTGAGCTTTTCCAGGGAAGTCTCCAGTGGAAGGAGCAGAGCAGAAATAAGAACAAGCAGGCAGTAGAAAAGAAATTAAGTGAGGGCAGGATCACAAGCAGATACGTTTCTTTATTTCAGATCACACAGAAGTCAGTGCAATCTGAGGCGAGGCAAGGAGGAGCGTGCTGGCAGGGAGGCCAAAGGACCCGCCATCTGCCAGGCTGCCCGGCAGGGCGGTGTCACAGGGAGCCCATAGGGACTCAGGTGGGCCCCAGGGCAGGTGCAGAAACTTGGCTTGCTGCAAGGATAACTTAACATCTCCAGCTTTTCCAGGAGACTCGCACAGCTCTGCTCTCAACCTTCTGTTCCATTTTCTGCATGACCAAATAATTCACAGGCTGTTCCAAGTACTTTGTGGAGTTTCCCCTTGCCCTCCATCAGCTGGTTTACAAGTTTACATACATGTTTCATGACAGAATCCAGTCCAGACAACATCAACATTTGTTTGCTCTGTTTTAGCAATGCCAGACCAGATACATGAGTAGTTACAAAATCTTAGCTGATAAATGTTTCTCTGTAGGTCCATTACAACTTCAAAATGAAAAAAGAAAAAACCTGCACAGCAAAGTTAATTGAGCTGAGAATTTTGTTGTAAACATGACATACGTTTCAAAATTACTTAGTCCTATAGAACAGCAATTTCTAAAATACCTTTTATTCTCCAAATTCAGAACACATTTTCTGTTCTTTACTGATTACATTTAAATGTCTCCAATTAACATAATAAAGCATTGCTCTTGATGCTTCTTTATACCACTTAAACTCTAAGACTGGCATTTCCTCATAAGATGATTTATCTGTTTGCAGCCCCTTTTACATGGCAAATCCATGAAAAGGACCTCAAACTCCAACTCTTTCTAATATCAAAAAATTTAATTAACTATATTTATGTACTGCTTGTGTGAATTTATTTGGGGAAAAAACTTTACCCTAGAAGTGCTCAGTTTTAACTGCAGAGGATTCATGTTTTCCTTTGTCTTTTCCAACATAAGAACACACACATATGTCTGTTTGAAGTCCTTTATAAACTTGTTTTCAGTATATCAAAAGTAACATATTTAGCCAACCCACAGAAATAAAGAATATGTGATAAATATTACTGTTCTTAGTGCTGATAGATAAAGAAGTTTGTCATGCTTATAAATAGTCCTTCACAATTATGTATTACAACTTGAAAATGTTCTGTTCTTTTCAAATAAGCTAATCAGTCCTTGGGATTTTTAACTTACGTCTTAGGCAAGAAAACCAAATGGAGATCACCAGTGAAAAATACATTATTTAATCATTATCCACAGGGCTTTTAATCCTTAAGGCACTATTCTTAAATCACTGCAACCCCATGACCTTTTCAATCAGTAAGGATAACTGCCACTTTTTAAAGATGCAGAAATTGAGGAAAAGAAGTTAAATGACTTGCCAGAGACCACAGAGGTAGCAGTATCCAGGTATCCAGTCCTGGAATAAAAATAGATTTTTGCCTTTGTGTCCTAAAAATAATAAGTTGCTGGTACACAAAATCTTCATTGCCGTTGATAGGCAATAGCCTGTACAAACAATTACAAATATTGCCAAACAAATTTTTATCTTCAAATATGGTTAATTATCAACAGCTTGCTCTATTTTTGTTACTACTTTTACAGAATTTGAGCAAATAACCTTGTTGTTTATTTGGAAAATAAAAATTCATTCTCATGCGTTACTTATTTGTGGTAACTAAGGCTGATAAATTTTATTTAATTTTCTGTGATTTGGGATTGGCCACATAGGTAAAGTAGTACCTCTTTTTCCCTTCCTTGACTGAGTTTAGAACAATAAATAATGCTGATATGCTACAGGCTGGATTTTTGTTGTTGGTTTTCATACACAGTCATTTATACCCAAAATTTCAAATTCTTGATATTGGATTTCATATGTTGAAGTTATCCATAAACTTTAAATGATAAAATAGCATGAATTCAAGTAAATAACTGCTTAATCCACTCACAAAATGCATTTCAGAAAATATTAGTGCTGCATATTATTTCTTCTTGGCTTTCCTTAGTCTACAGTAGTATCTGAAGCCCTTCAATTAAATCTCTAAAACTAGGATCTGTCACATCTGCTTTCTGTAGTAATTGGTTATGTTTGCTGATTTTTTTAGTGACAAGCTTTTCAAATGGGACACATATTTTAATGATTGATTAACCCAGGATCTTTAACAAAAGGATATTTAAAGCATGTATTGAATCTTCTACTTCTAGCATTGCTCTCAGATAATTCAATGACATTGATCTAAATTATCCTTGGCATTGAGGAAGCAGATGTAGGCTGTTCGTTACACTACCACAGAGACTTAATTTTGGTGTAAATGTGACTCTTGCCAGCTCTTAGTATAAAGAATTAATTCCAGGAGTCGTATTTCCTTCTAATGGAAAGATTGCTTTAGTGATTGCTAGAAAAAAAACAGAGTAATAGAACTCAGTTGAGCCAACTTGTTTCCAAAAGCAATGTATAGTTTTTGATTCGTTTGTGATAGGCAGCATTTAGGAATTGATTCTGCAAGTTGTCAGGCTCCCTTAGCTCTAACTAGAGCCACTGACAATGGACGCATCTCGGCACCACATGAGGTGCTTAGGCCCTCATAAACTTGGAGGCCCTTGGTGTTAAGAGGTCCCCTTTGAACTTTGTGGCACACAAGTCAGATGTTATTCTCATACTTGCATTTTAATGCTTTTACTTCACGCTTCCCATTGTTCATTTCAGCTCCATTTCATAGGGGTCAGTTTATTGCTCCTGTTGCACCTTGGGAGCCAATGCTGTCTCGATGCCTGTACCAGGCTATGGTGTTCCAGGTGGAGCAGCTACCAGACCTGTCCGTGAAGATGAGCTTTATTATGTGATATTTTTTTTGTCATTCATTTTCATGGTGGCAGCTTGCACAGGTGTACATTTCCCTTTGGGATAGTTTGCAGGGATTTCTGACATAACAACTACACAAAGAGGGTGCAAAGCTTCTCTTGTGTGCTGGCTTCCCAGCTTCCCCTCACCGGCTTGTGGGAGCTGCTCCAAGGCTGCAGCAGTCTCACAAATCAGTCAGACAGCACAGTTAGAGATGTGCAGCTGATGGCTCCTTTCCCTGTTGTCTTTTTGACCCCCTCTAAAGCTGTGCTACAAAGCACACTTGAAAGATGTTCAGGCTCCCCCCATCCTCCTTCCTTCTGACTCTGCAGTGATTGTGGTGTTTCCAGAAGAACCAAGGTCCAGCCTCAAAGCTGGTTCCTATTTTCAGAGTCATTGTCTGTTGGATGTCCGAGGAATATAGCACAGAACAATGAGATTGAACTGAAACATGAAACAGTTTTTTGTCCAAATACATTACATCTAAGCACATATGAAATGGAAACCTGAGCCAGAACAGCTTGCTTTTTCCTGGCAGTAACAAAATATTTACACCTACTAGCCTGTCCCAGCACTTTCTGCCTCCACTCTAGAAACTAACTCCTATCTCTGACATCCATTAGGAACAGTGTGTTGGAGACCCAGTCCTCTTCTTTTCTTTTTAAGTTTCACGCTTTGTAAATGACAATCACTGCTCAATGCAGATGTTGCACTGTATGCCACTCAGGGATGTTTCATTACTAAAAATAGCTATATAAATATAACAGTGATAATAAAGAAGA